GGTGCTATTACCCTGTTCCCTTTGAGTACCATGGATATTTCTAATGAGTCAAAGAATACAATCTGAATTCAGTTAAAGTCAGCAACTATATGTCACAGAGTGGATTCTTTTTAAAGTTAAATAACACTCACTCTAGCTTGGGCAACAAAGTGAGACTCTGTCTCAAAAAAAAAAAAAAAAAAAAGAATTAGAAGTTCAGAGACCTGAGTCAGCTTGACTATGGGGTCCTAAACAAGTCTCTGAAGAATAGCTATGGGAGTGATTGTCTTAATCCTGACTCCCAGGGGTGTGGTGAGGCTAGAAGAGAAGGAAAAAGTAAAGGACTTTAAAAGATCACTGTTATGCAAGCTAACTCTTTCCTTTCTTTCCTATTCCTCCTCATAGGCCCTGGATTATTGTCACAGCATGGGAATTATGCACAGAGATGTGAAGCCCCATAATGTCATGATTGATCATGAACACAGAAAGGTAAAGTGATAGGCTAGTAAGTCTCATTTATCTACATGATGAAGTTAACAGACTATCTTCAACATTTTATCACTAGTATCTGTCATAGGCCCTAGTACCCATTAAGCACTTGTATTTGGTAAACGAATGAATAAACAAATTATTACATTTGAACTATTACTCATATTCCTAAGAGTATTATCAAGAAGGAAATAAGTGGTGTAAGGAAAGGTTTCGTTGGAAAGCTAACATTTTAGAGAACACTGGAAGGGACCCAGACATGTAGTCTCAGGAAGAAACATGTCCCAGGCAGAGGAAATAGTAAGCACAAAAGCCCTGAGGTAAGAGTGTGTCTGGCGTGTTGTAACAGCAGTAAAGATAGAGCTGGGACAGAATGAACAGAAGGGAGACAGAAAGTAAATTAGGTCAAAAAGAACCAAATCATATAAAACCTAACAGGACATTATAATGCCTTTTCTTTGAAGATGGAGAGCTCTTGCAGTGTCTAAGCAGAGCATCGGCATGTTCTTACTTACACTTTACAAGTTCGCTACATGTCTATTAGAATACTTAAAATTTAAAAAATAGTGACAATCCCAGATGTTGGCAAAGATGTAAAGAAACTTGATCTCTCATACATTGCTGTTGTATAGTTTGTGGGTTTGTTTAAAAGCTAAACATATACTCACCATATGATCTAATAGCGTTTATACCAGAGAAACAAAACTTAGGTCCATACAAAAAAGGAAAGAACTATTGATAAGTGCAAAACTTGGATCTCAGGGAAAAAAAAAAAAACAATCTCAGGAAGTTAAATGCTGATAGTTCCATTTATATAACATTCTCAAAATGATAAAGTGCAGAGGAGTTACCAGGGGTTGGGATACCACATGGGATGTGTGTAGTGATAGAACAATTCTATATCTAGTGGCAGAGGCGATATGAATCTCTACGTGTGATAAAATTGCACAGAACTACACACACGCATATGTGCATGTAAAAACTGGCGAAATCTGAATAAGGTCTGTCAATGAATTGTGCCAATGTAAAATAGAGGGCAAGAGTGAAAACAAGGAGACCAGTTATGGAGAAGGGGCTACTGCAATAAATCAGACAAAAGCTGGGGCGGCATAGACCAGGGCAGTAGAAATGGTGGTGATGATGATGGTCAAAGTATGATAGAGACACCGGAATTTGTAGATACATTAAATGATTAAATGGGGAGTGTGAGGGAAGCAAAGAATCTAGGATAAATCTTAAATTTTGGCCTGTGTGACAGATGAATAGGATCACCTTTAACTGAGAATGGGGAGACTCTAAGTGGAGCTAGTTTTGCAGGAAATAATTAGAGGTTTAGTTTTGAGATGTAAATAATAAACTTGACGGCAGAGCTGTCAGGCTTTATTCCTCAGTGCCTACTGCTCACACTTCAGATCATGGCCATCCTTTGCACAGTGGTCATAAAGTTGTCTCTTGTCCCTACTAGTCCTTTTCCTACTTTTAGGACACATTTTGGTAAAAGCTTTGTTGTATGGCTTTTCTATTCATTCACTCAATATTTTCTCATTTTTCTCCTGTATACTGGGCATACATTTAATTCTAAAAATTACAAAGGTGAATAAAACAGTCCCACCCCTCAAGGAGCTTACAGTCCATATTGAGAGAGAAAAGTAGAAAACAAACATGTAATAAAGAGTTGTAGGTACTATTAAATATATGTGAGGTTCATGTGGGCTTTCTGAAGGCATTGGTGAGTTCTACCTAGATGATTAGAAATGACTTCATTGAGGAACAACTTAAATATCCCAGAAGATAAGGAGATGTTCACCAATAGGAGTATAGGTTGAATAGTGTGAACAGTTTAGTCAAGTGAACAGTTTAGCAAAAGAACAAATGAGATTGTCTTTCAGGAACTAGGTCATGGAGAAAGTTGTATGCCAAGCTAAGAAGTTTGATTCTCATCCTGAAGTAGTCAGTGAAGGGGTTTCAATAGAGAGTAACATGGCTGGTATTTTTGTGAAGAATGTGAGTAGCTAGCTTAGAGGAAGATTAAATTGCTCATGATTTATCCTCTTTTTCTTTCAGCTACGGCTAATAGACTGGGGTTTGGCTGAGTTTTATCATCCTGGCCAAGAATATAATGTCCGAGTTGCTTCCCGATACTTTAAAGGTCCTGAGCTACTTGTAGACTATCAGGTGAGCAGAAGGGTAGTTTTGGTTTTGTGTTTATTTTGCACATAATTTACGACAAAATGCTGTTGTGCTTTTAAGTAGACCAGTTATGTATATCCAAGGCTGTCCCTTTTATATAAAATGTGAAACATAAATCACCTCAGTTCATCTATCATAACTTACATTGCTTTTGTTGTCATAGTGTCAGTAGAAAATGAATAGGTCTGCATTTGATCCTAACTTGAGGGAAAGTACACCGAAGATACTTTTCTAATTAGAAATTCCAGAACTAATTTGAGAAATACCAACTAGGTTTAACCAACCTTAAGAATAAACTCAGGCCAGGTGCGGCGGCTAATGCCTGTAATCCTAGCACTTTGGGAGGATTGCTTGGGGCCAGGAGTCCGAGACTAGCCTGGGCAAGAGTGAGACCCTGTCTCTACAAAAAAAAAAAAAAATAGAAAAATTAGCCAGACATGGTTGGACACACCTATAGTCCAGCTACTCTGGAGACTGAGGCAGGGGGATCCTTTGAGCCCAGGAGTTTGAGGTTGTGATGATGCCACCATACTCTAACCCAAGTGATAGAGTGAAAGACCTTGTCTCAAAAGAAACAAAAAGTAAACTCAAGAATATTCTCTTGTTCACCTGAACTGTACACTAAATATCAAGACCTTTACTCCATCTGCCCCCGCAAAGAGCCCTCTCTTTCCTCACAGAAAAAGAACCAAATTAGTAATGGGGTTGGCACATGTTTTTAAGATTTTTTAAAAAATGAAATCTAATACTAGGTTATTATCAGATGCCCCAAAAAGTTTCAGACTCTTTGTCCTTGTGGAAATTCCTTTCCTGGGATTCTAAGGATATAGCCCTGAGTTCAAAAATCATTTTATGCATAAAAATATTCTTTACACCATTGTATATAATAATGAAAAACAAACAGTCCTATTATAGAGAAATTAAAGATTACATTCTAAAACATTTATGTCGTAGAATATTAATGATACACATTAAAAGGTTTCCAAAAGCTAACGAAAGTGAAAAGTTCAAAATATGGGATATAAATTGTTTTAAAACTGGGTGAAAGAATGCATAGAAGACTGAAAAGAAATACATGAAGATGTTATTAGTGTTTTGACTTTGAGTCGGTGGAGTGACTTTTTTTTTTTAATACAATTTTTTAAAATTTTGAAGTGACAAGCTTGGAGATTCATGTATGTTAACAATGAATTTTCTTTACTTCCATGCAGATGTATGATTATAGTTTGGATATGTGGAGCTTGGGTTGTATGCTGGCAAGTATGATCTTTCGGAAGGAGCCATTTTTCCACGGACATGACAATTATGATCAGGTGATATATATTGTGCCCATTAAGGAATTTACTGGCCTAATGTATTGATGACCAGGCCCACCTATTCATTAGAAACCCCAGTTGATCTTGCTAAAATGTAGATGCTTAGTCCCCCACCTGAGACCTCTTAATTCAGAATCTCTGAGAATGAAGAATAATTTCCTGTGAACTCTTTGTTCAGCCAACCTGACATTGATCCTCAGATTGGTGTTTGGGGAGCTACCAGTTTAACCTTTGAAATCAGACTTTTTCCCCTAGTCTTTTTAGTCTGCGTTGCTTGTTTTATTCTGAAGTATATGTATAAAATATTTTATAAAACATATGTACCATTCAAAGAATAATATTGAAATGAACAACCATGTAACTGTCATCCAGATTTTTGAAATAGGACATAACTTTAGAATCTCCTAATATGAGCTTTTATTAGAGTTGGGAATGTTTTCTCTAATGTGTTGGTTTATATGTGGTATTTCTATGATCCTTTTGCGTCTTTATATGGATTCAGTTGATGTATATTAGTGGAAGTATAGTGGGTAGGTGATGTTTCTTAAACTAACTCTATTTCCACCTTGAAGATCAAGGGGCCATTTCATTCATGAGAACCTCGAATGATTTTAGGACCTTGTGGAAGGTGCTATTACCCTGTTCCCTTTGAGTACCATGGATATTTCTAATGAGTCAAAGAATACAATCTGAATTCAGTTAAAGTCAGCAACTATATGTCAGAGGCCATGCAGCTGGACTGAGGAATACAGAAGAATGGTCCTTCCTCTCAAATAGTTCTTAGTCTGCCTTTTTTTCTTTTTCTTTTTTTTTTTTTTGAGACTAAGTCTCTTTCTGTTGCCCTGGAGGGTGCCATGGCATCAGCCTAACTAACTCACAGCAACCTCAAACAACTGGGCTCAAGCGATCCTCCTGCCTCAACCTCCTGAGTAGTTGGGACTGGGACTATAGGTGCTTGTGACCATGCCCAGCTAATTTTTTGTTTCTATTTTTAGTTGCTTCACTCATTTTTTCTATTTTTAGTAGAGACGAGGTCTCACTCTTGCTCAGGCTGGCCTCAAACTCCTGACCTCAAGTGATCCTCCTGCCTCGGCCTCCCAATGTGCTAGGATTACAGGCATGAGCCATTATGCCCTGCCTTCGTAGTCTATCTTATATAGGAATCAAACATATAAGGAAATAAATTACAGTCATAACTATCAGAATAGAAGTGTGACAAGGTACAAAAGGCAGTAGTGGTGAGTAGTCTGAGTATGCAAGGGGAGCTTCACGAAAGAAGTGACATCTGCACCTGGGTTTTGAGGGGGGAAAAAAAGATAAGACTTTACCAGGGGAACATTTCAAGGGGAAGGAACCAGGTTACAAAGTAGTTTGCTCACTTTCACATTGAGTTGATTTAGTGAATTTTAGGCATAAATCTACTTCTGCCACACATAGAAATTTGAACTGTAAACTGTTAGAAGGTGGTATTCATACCTGAAGGCATGATGATCCCTTTCTGTTAATTCAATCACACTTAATTGCTGATTTGATTGTGTAATATGCTTCTGTGGGTTTTTGTCTTTCTTTAATACTAGTTGGTGAGGATAGCCAAGGTTCTGGGGACAGAAGATTTATATGACTATATTGACAAATACAACATTGAATTAGATCCACGTTTCAATGATATCTTGGGCAGGTAAGTCATAAAACAAAATAAATTTATCTGTTCCTTAAGCATTTGGGGTGTGTATGGCACTTTGGATCCTTAAAATAATTACTTTGTTCCCTTTGCCAGCACTGCCAAGATGTCAGTGGTCTAGTGCCACAGAATGCTGCATTGGGCGGGCCTGTGATAAAAGCATTGGATTGAATGGCTGTTGTTTGTAAATTCACTCAAAATTGTCTGAGTTATGGGGATTATATGAATCAAATGTAGGTTCTGGTAGAAGGGTTACAGTTGTCAAAAATCAAAATGTTTCTTGATTTACCTTGCTTCTTTAAATGACAAAACTCTCTGTAAGAGAAAGAAAGAAAACAAGAAACGCATGCTTAAAAACTCCTGTGCAGACATTGGACTCTGACAGTAGTGACTAGACACAATGCTAATAACAGACCTCCTAGGCCACTCAAACTTCCTGAGGACACTTGATGTTTGCTCTGCAGTCCAGTGTCCAGGGAAACACGACACCAGCTACCGAGTGCCTAGAGGGACTAATCTCTCAAGGCAAAATGTAGCTTTCCCCACTTCTCAACTGAGTTTCAAATTCTCCTCAGCTTGCCCTGCCCATAATTCTAAATGATTATATCGGATTTCTTCACTTCATCAAACCTCCATCACTTCCTTCTCCATCTTCACTCTTGGCTAATGTCTTTGCTTCCTCTTTCACTAAGAAAATCTTGGGGATCAGTAAGCTCACAAGTATCTATGTATAAACTGTCTACTAAAACGAATTCCTACACTGCTACATCGAATCCTGTCCCCTTTCATCTTCTCAAAGATACCAAGCATTCACATGCTGTCAAGTAACCTGAATTATGTTTCTTAAAATAGGGAAGACACAATTGTCTCTTGTCAAATACTGCTATTTCCAGTCTTTCCAGTTAGCTTTGTTGTCCTTCCCAGAGACAGAGTGTGGTGCAGACCACTCTCTTGAGTTTTGATCCCTGTTTGCTATTATCTGGACTCCTAGCCAACTAAGGAAAATGTAAGGATGAAATGGTGGGCCTCTCTGCCCATGTGGCCCATTTTTCATTCCCCCTTTTGACCCCACAGACATTCTCGTAAGCGATGGGAACGCTTTGTCCACAGTGAAAACCAGCACCTTGTCAGCCCTGAGGCCTTGGATTTCCTGGACAAGCTACTGCGATATGACCACCAGTCACGGCTCACAGCAAGAGAGGCCATGGAACACCCCTATTTTTGTGAGTCCAACTCTTTAGTCTGCAGAGCCTATGCAGGCCTTCCTGCCAGGACCCATCAGACTATATAAGGTGGGAGAGAATATATGCTATGAAGAAAACTCGGAGTCCTACAGAACAGAGTTGGAATCCTGGCTCCTGTTAGCTCACTGCGAAGCTCCTTCACCCACACTGATACTCAGATTCTTGAAATGGGGACAGTGTTGGCAGCTGCATTGCAGAATTATTGGGAGGATTATTGTATAACAGAATACCTGACACATGAGCACTCCTAACTAAACTTCATTCTTACTATCTGGATGACGCTTCTCAGTTCCTTGTCTGGAGTTGTTGAATTAGAACAAAAAGCCCTGCATCTGTCCTGTCTCTAGTAATTATTCATTGGAGAGAGCCAGTGAGGCTTGCAAATCTTAGTATTATATGACCACCTTGACTTAGGTTTGTGAGTATAGATAGCTAACTGTGCCATCCTAGGTGAAAATTTCACTTAGACCCCACCCCATCCTCACTGTGATGTTTGCTTCAGCATTTATTCTTTGGGTGATGGTGAGGTGGTTTTGCAGTGAATCATTTACAGTTTTGCTCAGTTTCTTGTACCCGAACTAGATGGAGGCTGATTGGGATGGAGACTGAGGTCTGTGGTCATAGCCCTAACCTACATGGACCTATGTATAGCTTTGACCTACTTGGCACTGAGCCGTGGACCAACTAATTCACATTGACAGTGTATTGCTATTTTGGCTATGTTAGGTTGTATTGTGTCCATTAAACCACAACAGGACTAGCTTCATTTTAAATTTGTTCTACTATGGATAATTACCTCATCTTCCTACCATTTGGTTTAAGAGTTTACCTTTTACCACAGTTTGACAGGAAAGCTATTTCTATTTTATACTAGTCTAATTCGTGGTGAAGGCAATTGCCACCTTAAATTTTTCTGGGAATAATGTGGTGTATGAATAAAATACAGAGAATGAAGAAGGCTGCTTTCAGGCTCCCAGACCATTAGTTTAATGCCAAGCAACACAGAACCTAACCTTTCTGTCTCTTTTCTAGACACTGTTGTGAAGGACCAGGCTCGAATGGGTTCATCTAGCATGCCAGGGGGCAGTACGCCTGTCAGCAGCGCCAATATGATGTCAGGTCAGTTCATTAGTAAATTTCCTTTTTTAAAAAATGTGAAAGTCAATTACTATTCTTAGTTTTGCCTCCTCAGTGCAACCTGATTTCCTGTATACCTTCTCTTCTGTGTAGCAATAGCCTTAATGACATACTGGCCTATGTGGCTTTTTTCACGAGGTTTCAGCATGCTTTCAACACTTGGTATACTTTTCTTTTTTCTTTTTTTCTTTTTAATTTTTTTTGAGACAGAGTTTCACTTTGTTGCCCAGGCTAGAGTGAGTGCCGGGGCATCAGCCTAGCTCACAGCAACCTCAAACTCCTGGGCTCAAGGGATCCTACTGCCTCAGCCTCCCGAGTAGCTGAGACTATAGGCATGCGCCACCATGCCCAGCTAATTTTTTCTATATTATTAGTTGGCCAATTAATTTCTTTCTATTTTATAGTAGAGATGGGGGTCTCGCTCTTGCTCAGGCTGGTTTTGAACTCCTGACCTTGAGCAATCCACCCGCCTCGGCCTCCCAGAGTGCTAAAATTAAAGGCATGAGCCACTGCGCCTGGCCTACTTTTCTTTTTTAAAAAACATTTTGTCAGTACTCAGACACCTGGTATACTTCAGTGACACTGTGTTAAGCAGGGTACCATTAGTCTCTTCTAGGCTAAAATCCCAGCATCCCTAACCGAAGATTTCTTACAGAAGGACTTGAAAGTCCCAGCAAGCCATGAAAAGTAAAAAGAGACCATTTCATCTCATAGTTTGGAATGACAGTAGCTACATGGCCCTAAGAAACAATATTAAGAAATTGGGGGGTAGAGGTAGAATTTGTACATGGCTTTGTATGTGTGTAAGGGCAGTTCTTTCATCTTTGCTAGAATAAGTACAGTGTGCCTAGTAAACTCTAAAAATTTATATGAATTTGTTTTCCATTATTAAGAGTACACAGTTAATCACAAGAAACCACTAGCCCATACCCTAAGAATTATACATGCAGGCAACTTCCAAGTGGGTACACTTGTGATAGTGAGAGCATTTACTCAGATACCCTCAAATAATTGCTTTTGTCCCACTTTTCTTTCTTTTTTTTTTTTTTTTAAAGAACTAGCAGCCTTCTAGAATTTATGCCCTAGTTATCCTGCCCGTGTACAAAATTATATATATCCGGGGTAGCTCATTGCTTTATTTGTAGTAGCAAAACGTTGAAAACATCTTTCATTAGGAAACTGGTTAAATCAGTTATGGGATATCCATTCAATGGTATATGATGCAGCTAGAGAAAAGAATGAATAAGTGTTTCTGTTAGAGCTCTAACTCCAAGATACTAGTGTGAAATGATAAAAGCAAGATGCAGAGCCATGTCCAAGAACAGGAGTGGGCAAGAATGTATAATGATGTTCTTCACACTTGATCTTAGCCAAAAGGCCAAGAAGCAATATTTAGTCTTGTTCTTATATATGATGCTTATATGTATATTCTTATAAAATTGTATTCATGCATATGCATAAAATATCTGAAGGAATAATATATAGAGAATAAATATAGAAGGAAATACTCCCAAAATTGTGCCATAGTTAGCCAAGCAACAGGATGTGGGAGATTTTTCACTGTATATTCCTTTGAACCTTTTGTATTTTGAGCCATGTGTGATATATTACCTGTTTTTTTAATATAATGTGTGTGTTTGTGTGTGTTTTATTTATATATAGTTATAAATAAAACATTTTGAAAATAAAGAATTGGCTGATTGAAGGAAGCTAAGAGGTAATTCTGGTAATTAGGTGGAAGAAACCAAATGGAAATAAATTCTAAAACTCAATTTTGGCTTATATGGAAGGTGCTCCTTTCTGCCACTCAAATTGACTTTTAGTAATTTTTTTTTTTTTTTTTTTTTTTTTAAGAGATGGGATCTCACTCTGTCACATAGGCTGGAGTACAGTGGTACCATCATAGCTTACTGCAGCCTTGAACTCCTGGGCTCAAGCAGTCCTCCTACCTCAGCCTCCTACATAGCTGCTACCACACCTGGCTTAACTTTTAGTAATTTTGAAAGCTGTCAGCTATCAAGGCAGCATGATACAACAGCAATGAGTTTTGACTGCAGACCTGTGCTATTCATTATAGTAATGACTAGCTACATGTAGCTATTTAATTAAAATTGAATAAAATTAAAACTTCAGTTCCTTAATTGCACTAGTCATATTTCAAATGCTCAGTTGGCACATATAGCCGGCTAATGGCCATGATGTTGGACAGCTCTGCCCTAGATAGGCCTGGGTTGAAATCCAAGCATAATCACCACTTACTAGCCTTGGACAAACTGCTTAAACTCTCCAAGCCTAGGTTTCTTTACCTGTCTCCTAAATGCATTAGGACTTGGCATTTTAACATTGAATTAGTAAGGATTAGACTTGAAGAATGTGTAAAAATCTGGCCAAGACCAGGTGCAGTGGCTTACACCTGTAATCCTAGTATTTTGGGAGACCAAGGCGGGAGGATCACTTGACACCAGGAGTTCGAGACCAGCAAGACCATGTCTCTTCAAAAAAGGGGGAAAAAATTAGGTGGGCATGGTGGTATGCACCTGTAGTCCCAGCTACTTACAAGACTGAGACAGGAGGACCACTTGGGTCCAGAAATTTGAGATTACAGTGAGTTAAGATGATGCCACTGCACTCTAGCCTAGGCAACAGAGTGAGACCCTATCTCCAAAAGAAATAAATAACAACAGTCTGGCTAAGAGGAAGCCTTTGATAAAAAAAAATTATCATTGTGTTACTTTTGTGGCAAGTACTATGGAAAACTGGTAACTAAGATTGCCATGGTTGGTGTCTCTGGCTCACTGTCAGCTGTTTTCTTTCAGGGATTTCTTCAGTGCCAACCCCTTCACCCCTTGGACCTCTGGCAGGCTCGCCAGTGATTGCTTCTGCCAACCCCCTTGGGATGCCTGTTCCAGCTGCCGCTGGTGCTCAGCAGTAATGGCCCCGTCTGTCTCCTGATGCCTGACCAGAGGTGGGGGAGTCCACCCCTCTCCTTGATGCAGCTTGCGCCTGGCGGGGAGGGGTGAAACACTTCAGAAGCACCGTGTCTGAACCGTTGCTTGTGGATTTATAGTAGTTCAGTCATAAAAAAATTATAATAGGCTGATTTTCTTTTTTCTTTTCTTCTTTTTTTTTTTTTTTAACTCGAACTTTTCATAACTCAGGGGATTCCCTGAAAAATTACCTGCAGGTGGAATATTTCACGGACAAATTTTTTTCTCCCCTTCCAAATTTAGTTCCTCATCACTAAAGAACAAAGATAAACCAGCCTCAATCCTGGCTACTGTGTTTGGGTGGAGATTTCTTCCCATTTTCACCATTGCTCCTCCAGCATCCCACACTTTGGGGGGTTTGTATCTCATGCTCTTCTCCAGAGATTACAAAAATGTAGCTTCTCAAGGGAGGTGGGAAAGAAGGAGGCAGGAAGAAAGGAAGGGAGGACCCAATCTACAGAGCAGTGTACTTACTGCTAGTCACTTATTATTTTACAGAAGTGCTTCAGTGGGGTTATCCTGGTGACTCTAGTGGAAGCGTGTTTTAGTTACATTGAGATGTTGAAAATCTACCCAAAATCCAGACAGATCCTAAAACCTCTGTTCAGTATGAATCATGTCTTAACAACCTATCCCTAAACCCACTCACTTATGATTTTAGTTTTAGTTTAGTTTAAAATTTTGATACCTTCCCTCCTAGGCTCCTTACCTTGGTCTTTTCCCCTTTCATCTCCCAACATGCTGTGCTCCATAGCTTGTGTGAGGGGGAGGCAAAGTCTTTTTCTATTGTCTTTGACTTGGCCACTTTGAATTCAGTTAGTTACTGGGCATAACTTACTGCTTTTTACAAAAGAAACAAATATTGTCTATGTAGATTTCATGCTAGCAAATCTAAGCTAATGGGAGATGTGGCCACATTGAGTTCCATTTTAAGTTTTCTACCTTCTTTTCCTCCTACCTTCCCCTTCCCTCACATACCATCCAGTGAGAAGACCTACTCCTCAGTCTTGTAAATGTATCTGAGAGGTAGGAGCAGAGCCACTATCTCCAGTGAAACTGAAATGGTAGACCTGTAATCGTGGGACAATTATATCTCTTGTTACAGCCCTGCCACCCCTTGCTGTGTGTATATATATAATACTTTGTCCTTCATATGTGAAAGATCCAAGTGTTGGAATTCTTTGGTGTAAATAAACGTTTGGTTTTATTTATCAAGGTTAGATTTAAGTTCCCTGTGTAAAGGTCTCGCTGGGTGGGTGTCTCATGTTCACATCTGAGGGGCCTGCAGCCCTGTACCGTGGAGGCTTCCCAAGGCCCCCATTTTTATACACCCCTCGTTCGACCCCTGGTATCGGGCAGGGCAGAGAGGCCTTAAAAAAGCACCACAAGCCAAAGCGTCTCTGGGGATTAAGGATCCTTTGCCATAAAACTCATTTTGTGTCTCAGCAGTGCAGGGATTGGGGATGGAAAAAGTCGCCAGTTTTTGTGTGTTTGTGTGTGTGTGTAAAGTGGACTTTCCACTGTAATCCAACCACCTAAGTTTATCAGGTGCTTCACTGAGGAAGCCTAGTTTTTTAAGCACAATAGCAAAACCATCAGCTCTGTATTTTCTCCTGTTATTTCATTACAGTAGCTGCTTGTGGGGACTAGGAAAAATTCTTCCAACATATTTTAAAGCCTAACGTCTTTGTTCCCCAATCTCCTACCTTTATAGATTCACAAGCCTTTCTCACTTGGGCATCATAGGTAAACATGATTGTTTGGGGAGTTAAACTTAATGAATTTATCTAACTTTGTAACCCATCTTGGCTTTAGTAACTTTATCAAGGTGGTGGCTTTAGTGCATATAATGGTAAACTTTAGAGGAAGCTAAAGCCTCCTTTTATAACACTTCTCAACCATAGGGAGTGCTGAAGGGAAAACATTCTGACTGTAGCAGGGTGATTTTCTTCCTTGTGGCCACTTACGGTGGATATTTATTGTACTTGACCCTTTTGTGCCCTAGAATGCTGTGAGGGTTACCATGTTGAATTTGTGCAGAAGCTAAAAGCACCAGATGTGCCCGAGATGCAATTTGTGATTACGTTTGCGCTGGATTGTGATTTGAACAGGACACTTACAACTAATGAATTCTTCCTTTTGAGGTGGGGAGGAGGGTTATAAATCAAGACTTCATATCCTACCCTTCCTTGTAGCTCAGAAATCTAGGTGTAGCTGAGGCTGATGTGGAGAGTTGCAGACAGCTGGACCTCCTTACACCCATCAGACCTTGCAAGAAATCAAAAGTGAATGCAGAGGACTCTAAAGTGCCACCCAAGAGCCTTTTAAAAATAAATTTTAAAATGCTACTTAAAGAGTCACTGCAGAAGCATAGATGGAGAACAGAAGACCCAATTGGGTGGGTGGGGGGCAAGGGTTTACAGAGTAACAACTTCTGTGTTGTTGTGAATTACCTCATCTGTATACCTTGTATTGGGACACTTTATTTCTCAGCACTACCTGTGTCTGCATTGCTTAGATAGCAGGAAATGAAATGGCCAATATAAAACAGTTGTGTTGGCAATTACTCTGAAAAGTTTTTAAAGTATTTTTTAACTTTGTTTGAAGTGCCCCCCCCCCTTTTCTTTTTTAAGTTTGAAGTCAGAAGTTCCTACTCCCACCCCTTGATTTATTGGTTGTAACTGTATTGTAATTGGTATAACTAAAACATAACTGTGCTGGGAAGAAGTTGTGCCATGAAGGTCTTTAATTTTTTTTAAATAAAAACATTTAAATAAATGAAATGTCCCTGCAGCCTGAGCAATATGCTTCTCCAACCGACGCCGCGTGTGATAGATGGCTTAGTTTTCATGTGTTTTGAATTTAATAATTGGGTTGATGAAGATGTTAAGTGGGATGGATTAAGACTGGTTGAGGAGCACTGAAGTCTGAGAGTTTTTGATATCAAGGTAGTGAAGAGAGCATGTTGTTGCTGAATAAAGACTGATTTCATTCCTACTCTTCTCGTGCAGTTGGCTACTAGGCAAATAACTTCTAAATCAGTTTCATCTGTAAAATGGAGTCACTGCTTTGGGATTAAATGAGAGGGTATGTCCAGTGTTTAGCACCTCTTAGGCTCTTGATAAACCAAATTCCCCTAGCCTGCTGGTGTGGAGGATTAGTCCTTGGTCCTGACATTCAGTAATTCACAGTACAATCTCTGGCAAAGGCCCTTTTCTCCTCAGGACTTCTGTGTGTGTGTAAGCAGGGGGGAACTGAGAGAGGTGTCTTCTGAGGTCTTTTTCAGCTCTAACATTGATTTAGACAGTTTGAGTGTTACTTGAAAAGTACATGGGAACAGCTTATTGTAGCAGGAAAGACTAATGTTTAGTGAATAGCAGTAAGCCCTGGTGGAAGGTGAGTCTTAGATAATACTCCCAAGTCCTTGAGGCAGTTTGCAAAGGCTTGAGGCCTGGACTGAGGGTATGTTGGTGAGCTTGTGGAAACATTTTTGGCAACATTGATAAAACCATCAAAAAAGGCTGGTAAAAGAAGGAAAACAGTTTAATGACTTACCAACACCAGATAAGTAAAGCCTATAAAAGTAGACTTAAATTGCCATTTATTCATTCTCATTTAACCACAGGGAGTGGTTGAAACCAGAGAAAATGCTAGTATCCCAAATTTCTAGTTTACCATAAATTTTCACTACATACAATTATATGGCACCAATATGTTGGGGTTGAGAAGTGTGGTATAGAAACAAGGAACCATCATCGTGTAATATCTTGTGTTTGAAATGTCTGTGCAACTTACATGAGACAGGAGGATTAAACTGTTAAGAGAGAGGGATTGTCAGAGAAAGGAATATATTTTCTAAAGTAGATCCTCAGGGTATAGCTAATCACTGTAGTCCTAAAGTAGTAGAGAAAATAGGAGATTGGTTGACAGATTTGGGAATTTTAATTTCCTCTCAGTCTTTAAATTGAATCTTTGCTTCACCTGTTGTTAAGTGAATTTATAATTGGAACTGACCGTTTAAGCATCTCTTGAAAAATCTAGTTTTGTCCAACCAGCAGATTCTCTCCAAAGATCAGAATTAGGTTTGAATAGTTGTTTCTTAATTATGAGTCCTTGCCTACCTCCTTGCTGGTCATTTTCTTCTCTCTTGTGCCCAGCTATGGCTGATCAGAGATGACATACATGCTAGAGAGGCTGTGTTCCTAAGGGCCTTTTCCTGGTAGAGGAGAAAGTTAACCAAAAGGCTTTGAAGTAAATAGTCCTCAGTTCCCTTCTCAAAACATGGGTCTTTACCATGGTCCTGACTCTTGCTCCATCCATCTAAAGTCTAACCTCTTCTGTTTCCTCCACTGCCATCACTACCCTTGCCATTCTTTTTGCCTCACAACACCTGAAATTTTATTGTATTACTTTGTTTGTCTGTTGTCTGTCTCCCCACTTGCCTACAAACTCCCTGATGACTTTGCATGTCTTATGCAATCCTCATAAAAACTTTTTTTAAAAAGTGGGTCCATTATCCACTTTAAAGAGGATTGAATGGAATAGCACAAAGAAAATGCTTAGCGCCATATGTGGCTTGTAATAGATGCTATTTTGTTGGTTTTTTTTTTTCTTTTTGGGGGGGAGGTGTGTTTTAACAAGTGGTTTAAATTATTGTAAAACTTTTTAGACATGTACCAAGTTATAAAGAAAGCTATTATATACCCATAAACCTACTACCTATGTTAAATCTCTATTACCAGTGCAGATGAAGCCCCCTTTTGCCCTTTCCTTTGATATCAGAGTTGGATCAAGTGTTGATTTCTACTCCAAATTATGCAGTTGTTCAGATTATGTACAGAAAAAGGATGCTACATCTACAGGGATGTTATAGATATTTGCATTTGACAAATTTCTGACAATTTTCCAGCAGATGGCAGTAAAGGGTCTTTACTATTAATAGGAAAAAAATCTAAGCACTCAAAAGTGACAGGTTTTGGATGGATGCAAGTCAAGTTTCTAATTTGCAAGAAGGCCAGCGTTGCCTTGTTCCTACCAACTTCCACTCTTCCCCTCCAAGATTCTATCACTCTATCTCCTTTGAATTTTTAAAATTCTGTACTGAAAGCCAAATATTTTTGCACTGTAGCAAATTACAAACTGGATTTGTATCCCTGCAGCCATAATCACTAGAGATTCTTATTAACCTCAATGTAAGAAACCCTTCCCCAGGTATCTCCAGATGGAAGCTTACTGGATGCATTTCTTAGAGCAGTTCCTGAGGGTATTGAGTATTTCTGAATTAGCTCACTCTTGCATCAGCTGCTTTGACAAGAGTTTTCTTGGCTCCTCTAATGGGAAAAGGAAAGAAAAGTAGCAGCTGCTAAGTGGCTTCCTGATCCCACCCTGTGAGTCAGTGTCAACGGTATTGGTAAACATTTGTAGTCATACCTGGAAAGGGAGGACCTTGCTTCTGTATGTTGAACAGTTCTAGGAACTCCATGGTGAATTTCGTATGAAAAAGCTTACATACCCTCAGCTCTTTACAACCTGATGTATACCTCATTCTGTTCCCCACTCACTGGGGACTTATCCAAGGTTCCTTACCTGCCCGTGCTGACTGGTCTTTACACAGTTCGTTTCTATGTAAGATAATCTTCAATTCAACAAATAATTGTTGATGTCCATGAGCCTGGCCCTATGCTAAACATTGAGAGATTGAGAGATGAAATGCAAGGCCCTATGCTAAACATTGAGGGATGAAATGCAAAGCCCATGGGAAAATGTATGTTGTTAAATAGAAAAATGAGAAAATTATGTATGTGGAATAATTAAAAAAAAAAAAACTAAGAAAAATGCAGATTTCCAATCAACCATGGTAGACTCAGCTAACTCATGTAGATATCTACCTCTTGTTTCAAATACCTGGGGGTGCTGACCAAAATAACATAATTTACTTTGAAGTAAATCATTTCAGAGAAAAATGCAAATTCCTGGCGGCAGAAAGGAAGACAGAATTTATCCTGAAGGTAAGTCAGTATTGATATCACAATGGCCTTCAAGTCACCAGGCCTGGATATAGATGGGCCTCAGAGGGTAGGGGCTAGGGTTTTAATGCCCCAAGGTAGATAAGAGACAGACTCAGGCCCTTTTAAGGTAGAAGCTGAAACAATGCCCTGGCACTTGAAAGTCTGCATCCAGGGTGGAAAAAATATTAGGTGTAGTTGTCTCTGGGA